TTTTGATGAATTATAACATCCACCTGCATAGTTTCCGATCATTGTCTCAGTGACGTCGGAGTTAGGTCCAATCACGGCGACGGTACGGTGGCGCCTAGGGGAGAGTGGAAGAGAGCGACCAGAGTTTTTGAGAAGAACAATTCCTTGATGGGCTGCTTCAAGTGCTAAATGTTTATGGGCCGGAGTACAAACATCTCTAGGCCCAAGATTAGCGTACGGCCCAAGATTACCATCGAACATGCCAAGTCTCATCTGGACCGTCATGGTATTTGCAAGAGCTAAATTGACGTCGTTCTCCGTCAACAACCCTTTCTTCACTGCGCCTTCCGTAAAAATAGCCAAAAACGGCCCACAGTCCAAATCCAAACCTGCAAAACGACACGATGTTTTTTCCCTCGACGGTCCATATGCATATTGAATTTAACACCAACGGTGGAAATCAACTCACCGGCTTTGATGGAAGCGGCTGCGGCTTCCTCAGGAGTGCTAGTGTAGTGTTGTTGGTTGAAGAATACATCAACAGAGTCGCAATCTGAGACAATGTACCTATAATATGGAGTCGATATTAATCTAAATGTTCAAATCGATCTGAACCGTTGATTAAGTTTGACTTTTTTTTAACTTACCCATTGAGACGCCATTGCCCACGAATAGTGTTCTTTAAGAGACCTTCATCAGCACATGTGGGTTTTCCATTGACTTGATTGTACGAGCACATTACACTCGCTACCTTTCCTTCGTAAACACAAGATTTGAATGGCACATTGTATGTGTCCTCTAAATCTTGTTTGGTCACCTAAATCCATCGTAAAATTAATTAAACAATTCACCTATTACTAGCTATCTAGATTAGTAAAAGGCATACGATTTATACACATCAATCATGAGTTTCCGTTTATGTTGTTTGTGTAGTAAGAGAAAGGAATCTTTTTTTTCTTGTTATGATTTAGTTTAAGGTCTAAATTTAGATGAACAAGATAAAATGCAAGGAGGAGGGTTGGTCCAAGTTGGTCCACATAACCAAATAAGGATTACGATTCTCCACCACTACTATAGCTGACACATCACTAAGTCACGCTGTGCCTATTGGCTTAGCTGTTATATAATCGGTCTTAGGCAAGTATATTGCTTGTGTGTGAGTGTGACACG